GATGCCCCACAAGTATCACCAAATGAGAGAGTGAAGGGGGAGGGGGGGGGGGGGGGTAGTTGTACATACCGAGAGGTTGAAGAAATAGACAAACCGGTCGAATGCCACCAGAGACACGCGCACAGGCGAGGGCTTGCGCTCGCCATCCAGCGACACCTGCTCAGGCAGCGAGTCCAGCGACAGGCGAATGGCATCACACATGGCCTGAAGAGCGCCAGATGTCTGGCTCTGGATGGAAACATCCACAACAAAGACAATATGAAGCGGAGCCGCGGGACGAACAAAGTAATCCTGCAGGGGTGTGTGTGGGTTTGTGGGTGGGTGGGTGGGATGGGGGGGGGGGGGGGAGAAAAAAGGCGCACGTCAGGTACGGGCGGAAAACGGACAGGGGGTGAAACGGGAAGGGGTAAGGCAGATGCAACGAACAGCCGGGGCAACATAGTCGACCGAACCGCGGGACAACTCTGGCCGGTCCTTCTGGTCAAGGCGCTGACCCATGACATCGAGGTTGCAGTAGAAATCGCCAGTCACTTTGGGAGGAACAAAACAAATGGTAAGTATAACCGATGCACTCCATGGGGAAGAGCCTGAGAAAACATTTCTCCCCGTGGCATCTCCGATCGCGAGGGGGGGAGAGAGAAGGAGAGAAAGAGAGAGAGAGAGAGAGAGAGAGAAAACACACCTTCATTCTTCAGACCACACAGGGCACAGATGTAGGAAGACCCATTGTCGACGAAGCGCGAGTGGGGATTGATGTATGCCAGGCAACGGCCACAACGGACGGGGCCCCGGGCACCATGATCAACCAGAGGCACGGTGATCTGCAGATCGAGCGAGAATGGCAAAAGAGAGGGGGGAGAGGGGGGGGGGAGAAAGAGATCGCACAGGACGGGAGAGCGTTAGCGCAGATGCCCATGCCGAAGGGAGAACTTCGAGCAAGCGGCCGAGAGCAGGAGGCGAGGGAAGAGGAGACGCACCGAAGTTTCGGCGAAAGGCTGCAACACAAAGCCGAAGGGGATCTTGCAGGACTTCTGCAGATCGCTGGTGGTGGGGATTTGGTACATGGTTGACCGAATGAAGTGCGGGCTGCAGTTGCCATCATCAATGATGCTGCACTCAGTGAAGGACAAAGGCGGGGCCTTGGCCGAGCTGCGTGTGTAGTACGGGCGCCCCTCGTGGGCGGCCTGGTCCACGGCCAACACGCCTACCGGCGAGGGGACCTGAGCCAGGTCCACCGAGGAAGCGTTGCGGGCCCCCTGCTGCGGCTGAGACGGCTGAGGCTGCTGCTGCTGCTGTGGCATCGGCTGCTGCGGCATGTGCTGCTGCGGATGGGCATGGCTCGGGGAGTGGGGGAACGGCTGGCCCGGCATAGGAGGCATCAACTGGCCGGGCATGGGGGGCATCGGCTGGCCGGGCATGGGAGGCATCGGCTGGCCGGGCATGGGAGGCATCGACTGACCAGGCATGGGGGGGAAGCGAGCACCTGGCGCCGCATAACCATACTGCCCGGCAGGGGACTGCTGCTGCTGCGGCTGCTGCTGCTGCTGCTGCTGTTGCTGCGGCGGCTGGGGCTGCTGCTGCTGGGGCTGCTGCTGCTGGGGGTAACCATATTGAGGCTGCTGGCCGGGGAGAGGCGGCGGAGCAGCACCAGCTGTCGATGGGGGGAAGAGTCCACTGGGGGCGCCGACCGAGGGACTATGCGGCCCGGCGGCAGGCATCTGCCCAGGGGCAAATCCTTGCGGTGACTGTGCCATGGGAGGAGGCGCCGCGACACCGGCCATTGACGGGGGAGGCCCAGGACGGGGAGGCGTGGCGGTGGCCGCGGAAGCTTGGGGCTGCTGAGTGCCGAGGGACATGGTGGCAAACTGATTCTGCGCACTTTGAAGCGAGGGTGCCGCGGCCGCCGAGGGAGAATGCGCAAGTCCAGGCATGTGGTGAGTGGGGGGCATGGCACCCGGCATCGGCGGCGCGCCCATGGTGGTGGGCATCGGCGGCGCGCCAGCGGTGCCCGGAGCCCCAGGCATCGGCGGAGCAGCGACAGAGCCAGGCATCGGCGGGGCATTCATGGCGACCGGCCGAGGCGGAGCGACCGCCGTCGGGGCACCAGGCATCGGCGGCACAGCCATACCAGCCGGGGCAGGCCGATTCATCTGGGCCGGGAGCCCACCAGGGGCCATCATCGGTGGTGGGACACCCGCGCCAGGATGCACCGGTTGGGGCTGAGTCCCGGGCATGGGCGGGGGCGCCACGCCGCCACCCATCATCGGCGGAGGGGCCACGCCGCCACCCATCATCGGCGGAGGGGCCACGCCGCCACCCATCATCGGTGGAGGGGCCACGCCGCCCATCATCGGCGGAGGGGCCATGCCAGGGACGTAGCCCCCGGGGGTCGCACCGGCCTGCGTCGGCTGCTGCGTTAGGGACGGGAAAACACAGGGGGGGGGGGGGGTTAGTCCAGCAAGGGGGGCGTCATAAGCAGGGTCGCGAGGAGGATGGCAAGAGATGCTCTATCGTGTGGGTGCGTGTGCATGTGCAGAAGGGAGCTATGAGAGGGAGACAACATTGGGGGGGGGGGGGGGGGATCAATCTACCTGGGGATTGTACGGCGCGCCATAGCCGGCCGGCGGGGCACCAGGCTGATAGGACATCCTCTCGAGCGAGGTCGGCGGGAGGGATTTGAGCCGAATAGAAGGAGGGATCTACAAGTGGAGGGGGAGTGAAGGGAGCGGAGCGCGAGTCGGAAAGGGGCAAGGGAGGGAGGAGGGGAGGGAGGGGGACGGAAGCGCCCGGGTGCTCATTTGTAATCAGCCTCCACGGTGGCTGTGTGCCGGGTGGGGGTCACTTCACAGGTCACTACAGTGGATCCTGGCAAACAACTCATGGCACCGCCTGCCCCCCTCCCCCCAAGTCCACAAGAAGACCGAGCCGGCCTGGAAGAGGGGCTCGGGCGGGAGGCTGGCAGAAAGAAAGAAACAGAGGGAAAGAGAGTGCGAAGGACACGCAGAGAATCAGACACAAGGAAGGCCCCCCACATTGCAACCGCCTTGCGGCCGAGGAGGGCCCTCCATCTCACACCGTTCGCACCAACAACTCGACGCATGCAGGTTGCGAATAATGAGAACGGTGTCGCCCCCCCCCCCCCTCCCCCCTCGGCCCCCGAGTGTTCAGAAACGCCAGGTTCTCTTGGGAACTGACGGTCCAGACAAAACGGCCCCAACCAAGAACACTAAAAACACCAGCAGCGACGACGATGGGCGACCTGTCAGGGCCACAAACAGATGGCTTCCGGGCCAGCAAGACTTGGACGAGGGGTGGTGTCTAGTGGACCCAACGAACGACCGGGCAAGCGCCGCCGATGATAAGGGCCGCACAAAGGTGCGCGGCTGCCGGCCAGCCCTGTTCTTGGCGCCCCTCCCGCCCCCGGGGGGGAAGGTCGAGGCAGATGCCCGGCCGAGTGCTCTCTCCATCGATGCCTGACCGCGGACAAGAGCCAACACCATCCTCCGCCGAAATAAGTCCGCCCTTCTCTCCCTCCCCGGGTCGAGCGTCTCGCCCGGTGGGAAGGGGACAGGGAGAGTCCCGAAGAACGTTGCCACCCCCCATCGGTGGCAGCCTTTCCGGGCGGGTTCTCACCAGCAGCGAGCTGCGCACCCACACGCCGGGTCCCAAGACACAACACACATACACACACACGCCTGCCCCAGGGGAACACAACGCAGGATGCACATATCCCGCTGCGAAGGGCGGCGGAGGCGGCCCTTCGCCAAACCGCCGCATTTGGCCTCCGGGATCATGTGGCTCTGTGGTCATGACGCCGCATAATTGGGATCTTAACTTGAGCCGGGGTAGCCGGGCCGCTCTAATCTCCGGGCAGCCGTGTGGGGAACGTGTGCTTCTTTTTGTTCCCCCCCCCCCCTCACTCGCCCGAAAAGTGTGGGAGCCCATCTTCCCTCTCTCCAATAACGCCGTGCCCCCGGTTGACTCTGACGACGGCGCGCCTCTGCGCTGTGACACACACACCCGGGAGCCCGCGCATGCGCACGCCCAACAGGCTGAACACGCCCTTTCGCTCCGTGTTGCCGTGTGAAGGCGCTCGCCTCCCCCCCC